CTATGGGGGAGAGAATAGTCTAAAAGTATTATATTTTAGGGCATTATTTTTATCATAGGAGTACGCAATGAGGGTTGCAAAGTGGATTATATTTGGGGGTAGGGGGTGGGGTTTGGGGAGGTGCAGGGGGGATTGTGTACCAATGAGGGAGTTTTCTTTTGCTTTTCAAGGAGAGGAGCAAAAGGGTGGGGAGGGGGGAGGGGTTTGTGGGAGGAGAAGGGTGCAAAAATGAATGAATGGAATTCCAAAATCTCTGCAGATGCTCATTGAAATGAAAAATAAACAACCTAAATTTAAAAAAAAATGCATTCAGTTTATTTTAGTCATCTCGCTGAAGAAAACAGTCTTCTGTCTGTTGCTTTAACAAAAGGTTGGTAAGAAAATGAATGCAGATTTAGTTTTTTAATAATCTAATCTTAATTTCTAGATATGATCAAATGATAAAAGATCAATACAGGCTTTTAAGATATGATAAATGTGAAGTGTAAAATAAAATAAAAACATCTTGAAAGAAATAAAAATGATTAAAACAGGCTTTTAAAAAAATCACTATATGCTTGGAGAGACTTCAGTGAAATTAAAGAAATATTCATTGTTGTTTTTGTTGTTAGGTGCCATCGAGTTGAGTATGACTCACAGGCACCCAATGAACAAGACTTGAACACCTCTTGACACACAAAGGCGCATTGCAACAGTCACCACATCAATCCACCTGACTGAGGGTCTTTCTTTCCATTGCTGGCTCTCCACCCTTCCCAACATCATGTCCCTCTTCAAGGAATAGCACCTCCTAGCAGTTTGTCCAAAGAATGTGAGGCAAAGCCTCTTCATTCTTGCCTCCAAAGGGCACTCTGGCTGTACCCTCTCCAAGACATATCTATTCGTTCTCTTGGCCATCCTCAGGATGTTCAGTACTCTTCTCCAACACCACAGCTCAAAAGTGGCAATTCTTTTTCTGTCATCCTTACTCATTGCACAGCTAGTAATTGGAAAGACAATTAATTGCCTGAATCAGATGCACTTTAGTCCTCAAACTGACATCATTACTCCTCAATAATTTGGAAAGGTCCCTAACAGCACATTTTCCCAGTGCGATACATCACTTTATTTCCTGACTGTTCATACCGAGGGTATTAATTGTGGACCCAAGCATGATGAAGTTGTTGACAGTTTCAATCTCCTCTCCATCCATCATGACACTGTCTATTGATCCAGTGGTAAGAATCTTTGTTTACTTCATATTGAGATAAAATCCATACTGAAGGCTGCACTTCTTGATCTTCTGCAACAAGGGCTTTAAGTCCTCCTCACTTTCAGCAAAGCAAGGTTGTATCATTTGCATAATGCAGGTTATTGATGAGTCTCCCTCCAATCTTGATGCCACATTTCTCTTCATAGATTCCAACTTCTCAGATAATTTAAGACAGATTGAACAGTTATGGAAATAGAATATTTTTAGGGGAGAAATAACAGAATGGTCACACTCGAGATCAAATTTACGATACGGAAGAAAATGTTTACAAAAATTGAGATTTCATTAAGACTTGACTTGCTCTTTCTTTCTGCTAAACTTAAAGGTTGTAGGTCTTTACTGCCTACTCTAAAGCATACCAGGTCAACATTAAAGTCAAAAGATGTTCCTCTTTCTCACTTACTCATCTTCACTTGGAGAGCACCACAGCTCTCCACAGCTCCTCCCACGCCATTGTTGGCGATACAGCAGTAAATGCCATCATCGCTGTCTTCCACACTCAGGATGGTGAGAAGCTGCCCGTTCTCTCGAATGCTGTACCGAGTATCAAAGAGCCTGCAAGAAATAAAGGGAAAAGGCAGCTTAGGACCTCATCTGTGATATCTCAAGTATGATTTATTGATCAGACTGATGACTTATCCACGGAGGAAGCAGAACAAAGCTTAAAAAGAAGCTCGAATGACTTCTGAAGAACAAAATAATGCTGTCTGGCAGCATAAACCTAGTATTATATATCATCTTCCTTAGGCTCCAATCATCAAAATACCACCAACTCCTTCTTGTTGTTGTTGTGTACAGTTAAGTCAGAAGTGACCCGTAGCTGACCCTCTGGTGGGTTTTCAGAGGCAGTTAATTGCATGGGAGGAGATTACCCTTCCTTCTCTCGTGGAGCAGGGGGTGGCCTTGAATTACGTGCCTTTGGGAGTGCAGTACAGTTTCTTGTCACTAGGCCCCCAGAGCTCTTGACTAACTCCTTATATTTTTAGAAGATAGTGTCTGCTGATAAAAGCAAATGAGGGATATATGTTTTGGTTCTCATAAATTTGTTTTCATCTTCTTCAACTTCAATTGATGGTCTGTTCCATAGTGGGCCCTGGCCTTTCCTTTTTAAACTAATATCAAGCTTCCTCACCATCTTTTCCCACAGATGTAGCCTGTTTGATTAATGTGTATGTCAGTTGGGTGAGGCCCATGTGCTTTCTCTGATGTGCTGCCCAAGATGAGACCCAACATATTCCATCAGGTGAGGTCCTTGTGTATAGTTCAATATAGTGTCAGTAAATGAGGCCCCAGATTGGAAGGCACTCAATGTATGACTGTGGAAGAGCTGCCTCCTCAAATAGAGTCTACCTTAATGATGCAGATGAATAAAGCTGTTACTCAATGTTGTCATTAGGTGCTGTCAAATTGAACACAGCTCAGAGTGATACTATGAACAACAGATCCGAACCCTGTGAGGATCTTCAATGCTGATGTGGCACAACTCAAAATGAGGGGAGAGCTGCAGCAAACCAGTGGAATGTATGAAAAATTAACTAGGAAGATACAAAAAAGGAAGTTGAATGCATAAAAGTTAATATCCTAGGCTTTTGTCAGCAGAAATGGTCTGGTATTGACCATTTTGAATCAAGCAGTCATATGGTCTACTATCCCAGCAATAACAACTTGAAGAAGACTGGTACCACAATGATTTTAAAATAGTCTGTGCAACACTGTCAGTGAAAGGATAATATATGCATTACACTGGAAAAATCTGCTGTCAAAGACTTCTCCAAGGTACTAAAGAGCAATGAAGTCAGTTTAAAGACTGAAAGTGCACTTCATCCAAGCCGCACTTTTCACTGGAAATCAGATCTTAGATCATTAAAATGAGTACATGTACATTTTGCATATTCTTGAAGTGAAGGTGAAGAGTTTTTCTTTGCAATGTTGCTGCAAGCTACAGTCGCATTTATTTCAGGGATAAACCACAAAGCAGCAGTAGGAATCCTTACTAGAAAAGGAAAAATACTTACTTAATGAGAATTTTATTTCTAGTCCAGGAAATCTCGGGCTGGGGATAAGATTCCACTGCACACATGAATGTAGCCACCTCTTCCACTAAGGCATCTACTGTTTCAAGAGGAGTGGTGATGATGGGAGCTGAAATTAGAGGAGACATCCAATGAGAAAATTCCAGAATGTTGTTTACTAATCTTCATTAAGTAATCATCAGCCATTTGAGAATTATACCTCCCCAGAGTAAAAAAAAAAAAATTGCTAAAACACAGGAAGACCAATTTATATAGAGGATTTTGTTACTACTTCTGAGCTGTGTGTTAGACAATCAAAAGAAAAAGCGCTCAGGAGGATAGATCTTAGAATGTGTTAGAAACAAGTAGAGGAAGATTTAGGTTTGCTGAAGTCCACAGCTTACAGGGAAATGGAGTTTTTAAATTATTAAACTAGGGAAAACACCTCCTATTAAAGTCAGAATATAATAGCATTTGTTTAATGTAAGAAAGACTATGTCTCTCAAACTTATCAAGCATATAACTTGGTAACACCAGTAATAAGACTATCTTTCACACTCTATCTCTTTCACACATACGCATGCAGGATGACTTGAATTTAACATTGGGCAGAATGGAGGAATACATTCCAAGCAGTGGAAATAGCGTTCGTTAAGGCTTGTAAAGAGAAGGAAATTGGTGCTCAGAAAAAAGCTATTAGCAGAAAAGAAGAATAATTATTAGGACTAGGAAGAAGACAGATTTAGAAAAGTTAAGGAAAAGAGAAAGCCAAGATTATAAGCAAAGCAACTAGAGTATATTGTTAGAATCTAAGAGGAGCATGTGTTTCAAAGAGCAAGAGTTAAATGCTGCCAAGAAGTCAAATGTAGTAAGGACTGAACAGTGTCCATGGAACTTTTAGAAGGAAGATCACAGTTAGCTGGCATGCAGATCAGTGGACACTGGGCATTGGAAGTCAGAGTACCTTGGTGATTGGGTCACTGGGCGACAAGAAAATGAAAAGTAGGTGGACAGATACAGTTTCAAGTCTATCATTTTGTAGGAAAGGAAGAGCCTAGCTGCTACTGTATCTACTCTTTTTTTTTAAATTTATATATTTTTTATTTCAATGAACATCTACAGAGATTTTGGAATTCCACTCATTCATTGTTGCACTTTTCTCCCCACCACCCCATCCCACCCCCCATACCCCGTTCGCTCCTCTCCTTGAAAAGCAAAAAAATGTTTTAAATTAATTTAGGCTTATGAACAGAAGAGAGTAAATGCAGTTTATATGTGTATGTGTGATGAAGTAATAGATAAATATAAAAAATGTTCACCCCTAACTTTTAAAATTGTTTGTTGTTCTATTCCTTAGAGTCAGAAGTGACTCATAGTTGACCCTCCAGCAGTCAGAATTTCAGAGGCAGTGAGTCACACGGGAAGAGATTGTCTGTCTTTCCTTCTTCAGTAGGCAGCTGGTAGATTCTATTATATGGCTTTGGGATTGCAGGGTTGTTCCTTACCACTAGGTCACTAGATCCTGGTTTTAGTATTAGGTATATACTATTGTATATCTTCTGTTTTTTCTGTATCTCACAGGGTTTTTAAAACACCATATGTGTTATTTTTGGATCAAAAAAATTACAGAAAATAGACAAATTAATATTCTCCTCAATTCTCAGAAATGTTTATTTTCTTAAGAAATGCTATGGAATTAAACTCATAAATGATAACAAATTTTAAGGAATAAAGGCAATCTCTTAAGCAAAGAAACATATTTTTTCTAAATAGTGAATGGATAAATGATTTACCACTTTAGAAAACTAACCCCATATCAGGTGGCTTAAATCCACCAGTGGCTCAGAGGGAAAAAGATGGACAATCCCCTCCCGTGTGATTTATTTAGCCTCTGAAAATCTGCTTCAGGATTAACTATACGTCAGTTCTGATTTGATGGCACATAGTAACACCGACATCATGAGCCCAACTTGCTGGAAACTAACTTGTAGAAAGTGATTTACTTAACGGTTAAAATACTGTAATCTCAACTATGGAAGCTATGGACTTGAGACATGAGTTTCAGAGAATGTAAGTGCTTAATTGTGCTAAACTGGACTTGAAAAGAGAAAGATTAGATATATTTTTATT